GAACATTTAGCATGCAAATATAACAAATATGAAAAATCAAATATAAAGAGGACAAGAATATATCATTTTGAGAGCCAAAACATGCGCTAGTACCTACCACAAAATTGAGACTCAGGTGAACTCCTTCTACAATAACAGATTGCTTCCGATTTTCCCACGCTGTAATCAAACGATCAAGACTGTCAATAACCATTTCACTCTGTGCCTTGAATCCCTCAACTGCCATCTGCTTTTTGCCAATTTGGTCGATACCGGAGCCTCCATCCGGTGATTGTTTCTCACAATTTTCAGATGAAGCATTATTGGACAGCCCTTCCCTAAGAACAGAGTTGGAAACACCAGCCAGTCTTTTTGCTTTCCTTCTGGCCTTCGCTTCCGCAACTGCCACAGGATCCAAGTAATCACCAGCATGATATGTAGAGGACCACAGAAGTGGATTTTCTTTTTCATCTACAAAGCTCCTCATCATGTGCCGAATTGAATCAGTTGAAATCACAGTTGTAATACCCAATCTGCTTCCCTGCATGAAAATTCTCTAGTCAAATCACATGAATAGCACAGTTATTAGGGATAAAAGAATGGAATTTTCTTTAATGCAAATTCCTTTCATTAATGAAAGCAAGATGATGAAATTATTCCTATTTGTAGATATAAGAAAGAAGTGTTTCTTTCTAGGAAGATATTATTTTTAGTATCTTCTATTATTAGTATTTTCTATTTTAAAATTTAGATTATTAGCATGTCATAATTCATTTTTCGTTCTTTTATCATGGGGAGATTTTTCTAATGTACGAGACAACACCCTAAACTATCCTATAATTATTTTCTATGAGGTTGAAGAGAAATAATTTTTTTCCTCTCCCAAAACTTACATGGCATCAGAGATGACTTTCACCTTTGAAGTGGCGATCCAATCTCGTCAATTGTTTGTAGGTTATGTCGCTCCGCTCCTGCTACTCCCGGGTTCGCCCAATACAATTGTCTTCGCAGACGACCTCTCGCGAGACAATCGTGATTAGAGTTAACTGGGAAGGCAACAACTAGATCGTGACGTTCAGAGGCTCATTGTGATACAGTCGCAATTAGAGCTAGCTGGGAAGGCAATAACTGGATCGTGGCGTTTAGAGACCCCTCGCAATACAATTGCGATTAGAGACTGTTGGGAAGGCAATGATTGGCTTGCGACGTTCAGAGATCCGTCCGATGTCACTGATTCGCAAGCCAATCCTGTATCCAAACTAGTGCTTTTCTTTTTCTCCTTAAAGTAGCCACAACATGTGTGCTGCTCTTCTCAGATTCCGAGTATATCGTTCAAATTGGCATTGATGACGGGAGTTCAAAGAAATTTTACCACCTCGATTGGTACTAATAATTTCGAAACTACCTTACCCTATAGCTAATCTCATGGCTGTATCGGCTGAATAATTTCATCAAAATTTACCACCTTACTTAACAGTAATAAAACTTAATGGACACAACTACCTCGAGTAGGCTCAATCCATAAAATTCCATAAAATTGGCGATCAACGGGAGGGCCAAAATTGGCTATTTAAGTGGAGAAATTTCAAAACCTACTAGTAGCAATCCGAATATGAAAAAATGAAATTTCAAAAATTCTCTGGTGATGGCATGGCTCGTCAACTCTATAAAAACTATCATAGGAAAACATCATCTATTCCTTCCTACTACTCAAGATATTTGGGAGGCTGTTCGAGATCTCTAATCAAGTTTGGAGAATTCTTCACAAAATTTTAATTGAATACCCAACATTAGAAATTCAAAAAAAAATGATCGTGTGGTTTCTACATATTAAAATCAGTAATAACATTATGATAGGAGCTTGATCAATATTATGATAATATTTGATAGAATTTAAATGATTATGCTCATCACAAGAAGAGAAGAAAAAAGCTAGGTCTATGTGTTCTTGGCCAGCCTTAATTAGAGTTTAAACGAAGTCTAAGGTCGAATCCTTGGTAGAAAACTCTACCCTCGATTCAAGAAGTTTTTTTTTTTTTTTGAAGTTAGATGTGAAAATACAAGAAAAAATATGTTGTGCAACACCAAAATGCCTTGTAATATTGAACAAGAGAACTCGACTCCTGTGTCAAAAGGGACTGATACTGAGAAAGAAGGGCTTAAGAAATAATGGCGCGAGCATTGTAAAAAATCATGACACACAAAGGAGACATGTTGAAAGTTTCATGATAAACCTGTAAATTAGAAATCAAAATCCAAGCATGAAGATCAAGCTTATCAAGCTAGTGTTGATGAAACTTACGAGCCGTCTACTAACTCGAATGTAGTCCCTTTCACCAAGAAGCAATTAAAGCACTCGCACAAATTATTTTAATCTTCAAAAATGTCCCTGACTCTGTCTTGCTCCTTAGTACAGAAGGATAACTCTTTAGTCGCTGCCTTGTTAGGTGTTATTCCTATTTATTTTCATCCATGCATAATTAATTTTGGTGCAACTAATCACATGACTTGTTGTTCTAAATTTTTTTCTTCTATAGACCTTGTGCAGACAATAAAAATATTAAAATTAATGATGGTTCTCTCCTGATAATTGTCGAAGTAGGAGCTGTCAAATTCTCATTGTTGTCAACCCTTTCTGATGTTCTCCTTGTTCTTAATCTATCATGTAACTTGTCCATTAATAAAAATTACTATTGATCATCGAAGTCAAGCTACTTCTATTCTACTTATTGAGAGTTTCAGGAATTGACTGCAGGGAGCATGATTAATAATGCTGAGGAAAATGATGAACTAATATTTTGACGACAAACTTGAATCGAATAAACAATGTCAAAATACTCGTTTAAATTCTCATTCTATAGACGATTAAATTATGTTATGATATTATACGTTAGATCTCTTAGTTTTCAGTATATAAAATACTTATTTCTCGAAGTATTTCATCATAATAAAATATTTATTTCAATGGGAAGTTTGTTAGTTTACTAAACATTATCGTGCATTATTTTCTCCGCAAATATACAAATCAACTACACCATTTTCTCTGATTTATAGCGATATCTGGGATCTTTGTAAAACCCTTGCACATTCTAGGAAAAAAATTGTTTGTGATTTTTACAGATAGTCACATTGGATTAAGTTGGTTTATTTAATGAAAACAATTGGAAGTGAAAATAATTTTCAAGAACTTTTATATCAAGATACACAATTTTAAAAAATCATTCAAATACTATAAAGTGATGGACGAGATTATTTCAAAAATATTTTGGGTCAAATTTTTCTCAAAAAAGTAATAAATTATCAAAGCTCTTGTGTTGACATTCTACAACAAAATGACATAGCAGAAAAAAAGCACTTATTTACGATATCTCGAGCATTGCTATTTATCAATCAAATGCATAATAGCTTTGGGATTAAGCCTTTCTTACTGCTACAGTTTTCATAAATAAAACACCCAATATAATTTTAAACATTGAAACACTTTTTGATGTTTTTAAATTTTTTTTTTTTCCAAAGAATCAACTCTCATATTCTCTACTTTTAAAGATATTTGGGTGTACTACCTTCGTTCACATCCATCATCAAGGAACACTAACCTCGCGCCAAAAAATGCGTCTTCGTTACCAAAAGAGGTATAAATGATCCGATCTCAAGTAACAAAAATATTTGCTAACATACATATCACCTTTTTTGAATTACAACACTTTTTTATCACCTCATATTCAAACGAAAGAATAAAACAAAGATTTGCCTCGAACATTTCAGGATTTTCTTCAAACTAATGACTCTCAAAATAATATATTCCCAGCCTTGATCATTCAATCTAAAAACCCAAGCTATATTATATCAATAGAGAGTAAGGGCCCATTTGGTGGGGCTTTTCGCCCGCAGCGCAGCTCGAAGCCGCCGTTTGGGGTGGCGATTTCCCCACAGCGCGGCCGCAGTTTAATAAAACGTGAGCCAACCTACGGCTCACATTACTCCTTTCATTTATGCGCTTGCCCCTTGGGTTTGACCTTGCATTCGTCGTCTGCCCTGACCTTCCCCGCGTAGCTCTCGCTTCCTTTGCCTTAACCTATTGTTCCGGAAGCCTTCTTCCTCCGGTATCCCCTCTTCCTCCGGTATCCCCTTTCCCTTTATTCTCTTGGAGGTTTTGCATCTAATCTTTGTGATTTTTTGGTTTCTCGTGGATTTACACCGTTTGATTGTTCTTGATGTTTCTCTTGGATTTTTTTTTATGGTTTTGGGCTTGAATTTCATGTTTCTATTTGGAGAATTTGAGAAGCATGTGGTGGTGTTGTTTCTGTTTGTTGTGAATTTGAGTAGAAGAAGAGGCCTTAGGGAGGATTTCATCTGTGGTGTTTCTGTTTGTTATGTAATTGAGAGCTTGGGTGTTGTTGGTGTTGGTGTTTCTGTTTGCTGTGAATTTGTGCAGAAGAAGAGGCTTATGTTAGGGGGAGGGATTTGGATTTCGGCTGTGGCATTTTGTTGGTGCTTCTGTTTGTTGTGAATGTCATGTTTTTGTTTCGTGTTTATCTGGATTTTTGTACCTTTCTGAAGTAAATTTTTGCTTTTAAAGTATCAAATATATGATTATGATCGTTCCATTACGAACAACATTACTACACAGGGGAATAATTGTCACTCTTTCAGAATACCACTCAAAAGAGCATAAAGACGTACACTGATACAGATTTGGCAGACTCAGTTATTGATAAGAGATCAACTTTGGATATGCACCTACGTGTGGGGAGTCTTGGTTATATGGCGAAATAAGAAACATAATGTGGTTGTAAGGAGTAATGTTGAGGCATGATACAATGTTATGGCTAATAGAGTAGCTGATAAGATATGGCTGAAAAGAATTCTTAAAGAACTATAAACCCCGATAAATATGTCAATGAAATTATACTGTGACAATAAAGCAGCCATATTCATTGCAAAAATTCTAATGCGGTATAATTGCACAAAGCATGTGGAGATTGACAGGCTTCATAAAAGAGAAGATTGATTATGGAGCTATTTGCAGACCATGTATCTCTATTGCTCAACAAAATTACACATATCTTCAACAATGGGCTATTTAGGCCTAATTTTGAGTTCCTTGTAAACAAGTTGGGAATGATAAATATCTATACTCCAACTGGATGGGGGGTATTAGATTTTTAGGAAGATTTAATTTTTTGTATCTTCTATTATTAGCATTTTCAATTTTTAGAATTTAAATTATTAATATGTCATAATTCCTGTTTCCTTCTTTTGTAATGGGAAGTTATGGCGGATATTAAAGGTTTTTTAATGTGAGAGTGATGGGAAGTTATGGCGGATATTATAGTTTTTCTAATGTGAGAGTATTCTTCCTTCATTTTATCTTGTAATCGTTTTATGTGAAGTTGAAGAGGAATAAAAATTTTTCCACCCCAAAAACATACAAAAATCAAATGTTATAAACATTACAATAAGAAAGATTGGTTTCAGTTCACCTAGGCAACTAGACAACAACCGCAAGCACAATTTTCCCGATCATCATACACAACCAAAGACAATAAAAAAAGCAAGAGGAGAAAACAGAAGAATGGCACGTTATAATACTAAAAAATGTGGATAAATAAATAAAAAAGAACTGCCTCGTTAACAAGGATAAGACTTCTACTTCGTCATGGATCAAAACTGCTTAAGAAAGAGAAGAAGGAAATAAGAAATAATAAATAAGAACTATCTGCCTTCTCACCTAACTAATTTTAAAATTATGGACCACAACATGGTTAACTAAAGTTTTGAAATAGTAACGATACCAGCAACCAGAAGCCATATTTCCAATTTTAAAACAAAGGGCAGGACGTAGTTATTCAGGTAGGAATGTAACCAAAAGAACAAGTATCCACCAACAGCTACTACATAACATGACAACAAACAATACCTAGAGCACTGATGCATGGAAATGTTCTACTCCAAAATATTATGGAATAGTTACCAGTAAGGCCGATAGGGTAGACTTCCCACAACCACTTGTTCCACACAAAAGAATTGTAACCGATTCCTTTCTTTCTCTAATCCTACAATAAGTTAAGAAAAATAAAGAGAGCTTAACACAGGCGAGCTTAATGTAAGTAAATGCAATTAAATTGTATGGTAATAAGCATGCTCAATGAAACATAAAAAAAGATTAAATGAAAAGAAGATTAGGATTACATTTAAACTTAGGCTATATTTTATAAATTTCTGCCAACAATATATGTACAAGAATAGAATGTGTAACAGAATCCTTCCAGTTATTGCATGACAATGTTTCCTCTCAAGTTAATAATGATTCATTTTCATAATTTCTAGTTTAGAATCAGCACACATTAAGATTAAAAAAACTTCTATGAAACATATAACGCTAAATGCCCAAAAATATAAGGAAAAACAAGCAGACCAAAACAGAACCATTCTGACTATGATAATTAAAAAATAAAAAGCACTCTGAAAACTCTAAAAATCAGTTTCCTATGTAATTTAAAAAAAAAATAAAACCATATTTCAACATTAGTTTACATACACGTCAGTGTCAAAATACTCTTCCTATAATAATTTTAGATATAAATAGTGTTTTAAACTGTACCAGATTTCTATCTTTTCCTCAATTTTAATAGCGATGAACCTAACGCCAATCAATATTTAACCCTTTGAATTCCATGGAACTTGTTCAATGTTGTTGTTCCGATGCGCCAAATTCATTCTTGAAGTTAAAAATATATATAACAATAGAAACAATATCAATTTGAATTCCTCAAACACCTTCAAAAGAGATCTCTGACAAAAAGATATTGATATCTTTCACAGAAACCACTTAACAATGCTGCATATTGTGATAAAAAAGTACCGCTAACAAAGAAATTTTTATAGAATTCTTATCACCTAAAAAATCATCCATGTACAGTCCAAACCATAATGCATGCTTTTCAATTAATCGAAACCTTTTTTGTATGGCCTCCAAAACTGTCTCAACTACCAGCCAACAGTTTTTCAAATGCTATCTGGATGAAGTTGAAAGGCTTGTTAAAATAGACAACTTTCGAGAAAGGACTACACTCCTACTTTATTATCACTTCCAAAGTTTTGCAACATGAAAACTATGAAACATGACCTTAAAACCTTTTATGTCCATGTCAATCATGTGTCAAACACAAATACACCTCAAAAGAAACCTAACATATGGATAACGAGTTGAAATCATGCTTGATTATTTTCTTAAAAATTAGAGTTGGACATTTCCAAAATGCTAAGTCGAGACAGTTGTCACAAGCTATTACTAGCCAGTAAATATTTTGATTAAGGTTAGACAATCGACAGGTTAAACATTCAAACCTCATACAATCATAAATCTGGCAATGTTGACGGAAACATTGATGCTAGTGGTAATGGTTATCACAATGGAAACTATGATGAGGTCAAATCAAACTAGTCTTACATCAAAATATTCATGTACCCCATGTCTATTTTGAAGAGAGTATATATTTTTTGGATTATTTTATTATTCTAGACCGTACAATGTTAATAATGATAGCATAAAGTCTGACAATTAATGCAAATGTTGGGTGTATTGTTGAAAACTAAGAACACTAGATAAAACTTAATACTTAAATTATAATTAATTCAATATTACTATTTCTTCTGCTAACCTTAAAATTTTTTATGAGCTAAACATTATGCTATGCTTCATTATGAGAAATTTTAAGAAAATATTGGCATTTGGTGTTTTTGATGATACATTTTATATTAATAATTACTAAAAAAAACAACAAGTGTAGCATGTGTTGTCTCCTATGTTTTATAGTTATGTTACACCCCTTGTCTAATTATGACATGTTGAGTCTCAAGTTATCGTTCTTGCCTCAATTCAGGGAAGTTTTGGGCTACAACTCTAATACAAACCTTCAAAACAGGAACATCATAAAATATGTAGAGTTAAGATTAAATTTCTATCAATTATACTTTCTGTATCAGGAAAAATAAAATAAAAAACATTAACCATGAGCCAAAACATATCAAGCCTCCAGTGTTTGGCTCGATTTCCAATTGATGGGAGACCAAAGAAATACTGTCATTCTAAACTGTAATGTATTTCCAAAAGTAACATATTTATTCAGTGGTTAAAAGATAATCATAGACATCAAACAGCATAATGGTAAGCAAGATGAAGAACCAAAATATATCAAGTCATTAAATGAAAAAAATTGAAATTCTACGCTAAATTTATCTACTCGGGACAGTAGCATATTATCAAAATAATAAAAGAATTCCATGAATAAAATATTCAATATCTAAAAGGTTATGAAGGAAACTAAAACTACCAATATATTAATTACAGATCATCTTAGTCATCCTAATTATAGCAAGTAGAGAAATGCTATTCCTAAATCAGCAATATGCACATGTAACTTCCTAAAAAATAACTAACATGTCAGATTTATAAACAGATTGAATAGGAGAACATACAACACATAAAATATGAGCTAAAGTTGGCCAAAAAATCATATGCAATAAGGATGATTATTAAACATAGTGACAAAATTTATCAACAATCAATCATATTTCTAGTATGAAGAATCTCTAGGAAGAGTTAGAAGCACTGGAAACAAAGTTAAAGCTAGATTGAGCTGCAATGAAGTATAAGGCAATTAAATATATATTTTGATAATTACTCTATAATCATTATAAAATTCAAGGAAACAATTAGTTCCACATCATATAATCTAGTACCACTGCACATCAAAATAAAATCAGCACACGAGCAAAAAGTTGAATGCAGCTTGTGTAGTTGAGTATCTTATTCAGAAAACATTGACTGATGAGATATAACTATATCATATATAACTTGATTCATAAGATTTAACTTGGTAAACAAAATCTTGTGCATTATCAGAAAATAGAAAGGGCAGTCTCCCTCCCACCTGCATGCCAGAAGCAGGTCAACCCTTTGATTGGGACCCACATATTTATAAGAAGATAGGGCGTCACAAACAACGCTTAAGAAGTTCTCTCTTGTAACAATAACAGTTGTCTGTCTTTTATATAGTTCAAACTGTATGGAGCTTCTCTCTATGTTTTCATTTATCATATTCTGGTTCAGTAGTTCATGGTGATTGTCTTTCCCAAATCTCCCTGCTGAAATATCTGAGAATGGCAAATTTGTCCCAGCTTGAGCAAGAGCACCTTTTTTGCATCCATTTCTCATTACATCAAATACCCTTCGACTAATCTGACAAGAATTAACATAATCCTGTTCAGTTCTAAAGCCAAAACAAGAAAATGCAATGCCAAATATAAAAATTTAACAAACAGAAAACTTAATTAGCATATGTACACTGCCGATGAAGATATTAGAATAAAGTGATCACAAATCATAAACATTAATGAATTGATAAGTTATTCACCCAGCAAAGTTTTATTTTTTGAAACGGTGGTAAGGAAAATGCAACCATGGTAGCCATGTAACACAAGAAGAGTAAACGAGTTATTATTTTAGCCATTCGTAGATTGAAAGTAAAAATTTCTACGGTCAAAACACAGCACCACCATAGTTCGCAAACAGAAACAGCCGATTCATAAAACCAAAAAGAAGTGAGAAACAAGTAAACAAGGAAATTACAAATCTCCAAATTCAAATCAGTAGATATAGACATAAAAGCATATAGGGCAGCCTAAGACAACAAGATCACCAGTAATCAACCATAAACATTCCAAATCAACACCGCCTA